GGAAACAAGACAATGTACTAATAAACATCCAGAGCCAAAAAAAAGTGTTAGCTTTGCCTTTTTAGTATACGAGACATCTTCTTTTGCTTAGCTTATTTATTTTGGTAATAGACGATGTTGTAATGATCCCTAAATTGCATCTCAATATTAGGATGACATTGTAGCCCACAAAGCTCTCATCCTACCCAATACCACTTTTCTAACACATGACCTAAGTATCTCTCATGCTAATTTTTTGCTCATTTTTTTTATCATTTCTAAATCATGGATTTGTTCATACTTTAATTTAGTTATTTTGGTTACCTTCACTATTTACATTTCTCTTCTTAGCTTTATAACTTGCTTTAAAGTACTTTAATTAGAGCTTAGGCTCTCATTTTTCTTTAAAAAAGGGAGATTTACATACAAACCACTATGTTACTTTTATTTTATAGATCTAACACCTCAAATATTAATATTATATTTATACCACACAAATATAAAATTTACCTCAAATCTACCACTTCATATCCCACAGAGCACACGACATCTTCTTCCTGCCAAAATATCCCCTTCACGCGCTACATCTTATAGTCCCGCAAGTTGTGTCTCGTATGTCTGCTCGCACGGTGAAATCTACCTTGCCGCAAACTCCTTTCCTCGTACATTCATCCAAGCATGCTTTGTTATGGAACATCCTCCTCGCACCGACCTCACATTTTCCTTCCAATGTGCTTTATCTTTAAGCAATGTAATGACTAAGTTCTTCATTAAGTAATTCAAAATTTTTTGTTGAGAGCGTAGGGCGAGTCAAAAGTTGTGGTAGTTTTTGGGATTATTAATTATTTTTTGTGGACAGGATGAGTCTATTTATGCGGTGAGCAAAAAGAGTATATTTCCGTTGCATTTAAGTTTGGAGAAATTTGGGTTCAAACCAATGACCAACATAGAAAGAGGTATGATGATGGGAAACAAATGACTGTGAAATTTGAGAAAGAATAATCAACATTTTCACGCTTAGAGGAGAGATTGCTAGAATATGTTCATGGCTTAAGGGACGTCCATATAATATGCATTATTACATATATGATACATCACTGAAGGAATACAAATATATCAATTATGACATTGACGTGATTGAGTTAATAAAAGTATCCAATGATAATTTTTGTGCCAATATAGTTATTACAATAAAAAAGTAGATGTACATTAATCAATTTCTAATCTTAGGGAGGTTGTGAGTTCTAAACAGATGGTTGAATGTTTTATTAAACATAATGATGGTATTTCGAGTGTTTCAATTATATGTTATATATATATAGTTGTTGGGATCTTTTTTCATGATGCAACAAGTTTCAAGCATGCTCTGTGATCATTTGTTATCAAGGAGATTTTTGGGGTTAGGATAAAGGATAGTGATAAGAAATATGTTATTGCTACATATTCTTATGAAGTTTGTCAATGAGAATTTGAGCCTCCCTGTGTGAAGATACTCAATCTTTTTAAGTTAGGAGACTCGATGGAGTTTACACTTATCCTGTGATCAATCATGTTGGGAATATACTAGCTACATTTGCATGGGTTGCCAATGAGATTCATGAGATGGTAAAAAGGAATGTAGACATTCCTCTAAAGTATATCAATAATAGTTTAGAGAAAAAGTATGGTCTTTCATTACCTTATATGAATTTGTGGAGGTCAAGAGAGAAAGATTATGCCAGTATATTTTGCTATATAGATGATAATTATAAATGGGTACTGACACTACGAGCTAATCTGCTTGGTAGAAATCTTAGTTCACATATCACATATACATATAACAACAGTGACAATTAATTTAAGAGATTTTATGTTGGCTTTAAGGTGTGTGCAAATGGATTCATATATGATTGTAGACATCTTATCAATTTGAATGCATGCCACCTCAAATCTAAGCACTTAGGTATACTATTATCAACTACCTCACTTGACGATAGTAACAGTTTATTTCCTTCAGTCTTTGTCATTGTTGAGACTGAATATAAGCTGGCATGGTTATGGTTCCTTCATAACTTGGGAGAAAGCATTGGTACAAACATATAACATCTTGCTTTCATATTAGAAATAGAGAAGGGGTTGGGCGATGCCATTAGAGAAGTATATCCTGGAGCTGAACATAGAGTTTGTATTCATAATTTATGGAAGAATATGAAAAAAAAAAAAAAATCATTGCAAAGATGGACATAAACTCCAAGGATTGGTTTGGGCAGCAACTAATGCATACACTAGCCACTAAGAAGCTGACTAAATTCAGTGTTTTGAGTTTGACTATTCATGCATACCTTATCTCATTACCTTATAAGTGGCCGTGAAGTCAATTTATGTTAGGGATATACCACGCTACCAATACCAATGACTTTGAGAATCATTCAATGCATGGATATTGGACGCTAGAAATAAACCAGTTTTTTACTTAATTGACATGATTTGTGGTAAACTCATGGAGCAAAGGACTGTACGAAAGATGACGAGTTTGACATGGCACCATGAAATAGTGCCCCATGCGGAAGAATACATAAGAGAAATTACAACATGAAAAGAACATCTATTAGTTCACAAATCCAAAATTTTCAAGGCTAAGGTGGAATCCTTCCATTCAAGATATATATTTGATGTTGAGAGCAAAGACTACACATGTAAGGTATGACAGTTGACTGGACTTCCTTGCATTCATGTCATGGCTTTCATTAGGATGAAGGAGCATCCATTGTGACATACGTATGTTCATGATTACTACTACGCCGACATGTAACTTTTACATTTTTTGAGTGAATTCCATTTATACATCAAAATACATACACTAATTATAAGTGCTTTAGGTACAAGATGGCGTATGATGGAGCAATTCCCATGTTACCTAGGAGGGATCAATGGAAAGTTGCTTACGATGTGGTGGATGTTGGAGTGCCAAACACATCTAGACTTAGAGGACAAAAAAATAAAAATAAAAAGAAGATTGCCAATTTTCTTGGAGAAGGAGAAGAAAGTACATAAATATAGTAGGCATGGTCTTTGGGGCCATCATCGAAGTACATGTAAGAATCCATTACAAAAGTTTGTCGAGGACACATTAGTAACACAAGCAGGGCAACCAAAATGACCAGAGTTGCCAAGTAGATAGACTGCTGATGACTTTATTGAGGGAGGTGAATACAAACACTCATATGTTGAAGGTTTATAAGTAAATTGAAGTTTATGAATTTTTTGGGTCACATGTTTAGGGTCAAATTTTTTGTAGACGTAAATGGTCACATCTTTTGGTCACATGTTATGAAATGTTATTTGTTTCTTAAATTGTTGTTTGGGTCACATGTTTTGAGTCAGATGTCACATTTACAATAGTTGTGTACCGTACCTTGAAGGTAACAAATTCATATGCAACAACATCGACAAATCCATCATCTGAAATTTTTATAAATGGTATAAGTTCAATGAGATCAAACAATCCATTCTTCTATTGCATATATATCATAGTTAATGTTAGGCATGATTTCCAGTAAATGCTATGTGATACATTCTTTTATCCCATAATCATTGTTTATCACCGAAGATCTGCAATACAGAGACAACAAAAAGGCTATGAAATTGGGACATACTTTAAAGCTTCAGGCTTGTCAATATAACTAGTGAAGATCTGCACTGAAGCTATCGAGACGATCTATAACAATTAAGCTCCAAAATTTTTTAGGGACTTTAACAATTAAGTTATAGTACACAACTACAACATTTAGCTATCAACTAACTTCAAAATCTTTTAAGCAAATTATAGAATTTCTCCAATAAACATCATATTTTTTTTTCATTTCATAAATTCAATAAAGATACAACATACCACTGCAATACATGCCAAAAAGCAAGCTCAAGCAAACATAATGCTTGAACTATTAACCTTGGGTAATAACATAATATACTACAAATATAACACATGTCGTCCCCTAAAATAGTACATCAAATCTACCTCAACAAAAAACCCCCCAGATTGGAGTGTCAATAAGAGCAATCACAACAAAAACTTTAATCATCAGGAGAATCAAGTCAAGCTTCTTAAAATTCCTTGCATTGAAGGCCTTAAATTTATAATGTGTGACATAAGATGTTTATTTTTGTTCATCTACCCATTTAAAGTAACTGCAATCATCATCACTTCAATTATAAATACACATGTAAAATTGTCTTTCACTATTAAGCTCTCTGTGGCAAGTATACAAGACACAATTAAGGTGACATTGACAATAAACTTGGGAATGTTACCGCATGACTTTGACAACAAATGAATTTGAAGAACTCATTAAAAACTTCACAAAATCTATCAAAATAGTACAAAATTTGGATGATTAGAATACAATAAGCACATATAGCAATGCAACAAAATTTTATTCCTCATACCCTATCAACTCAGATGTATAAATAACAAGACAAAGCAAATTCATTGGAAAATAACAAGACAAAGCAGAGCAACATAAACCTAATTTTCACAAATCCGAAAACAAAAACTTCAGCTATCAAAGTAAAATTACAGGATTCAAATTATGTAACTGGATGTAACTATGAATTCAGGGAACTGTTGGCTACTGAGATCGAATATAACCCTTTACAAACCCTACCAACTCAGATGGTCGGCTGCTGAGAGCACACAACTACTCACTCGGGAAATTATAGACCATTACACGAAACAGAGCTTCTTTTTGAGATGCGAACTCTAACATCCTTCTAGATGCGAGCTCATCTTCTTCACTTCACGAGGAGGTTTTAGAAGTTTAAGAGCTAACACACGAAAAAGAGGAATTTCGGCGGGAAGAAGACGCCGCTGAGTGATATATTTGAGATAAACTTCATATTTGGGTGGAAACTGTAATATTAATATTTGAGATGTTAATATGTAAAATTAAAATAATAGATCTGAATATTATTCAGGAAAATAATAATATTAAAAATAGTCATTAATATTAATATTGTATTAGCTATCTAATACGTTATTGTCGCTCGGGGCCGCACTGCTTTCCAGTCTAGATCAAAGAAGGCGGAAAGCGGATCCTGGTTATATGGTAAACTATCGGCTTCCTTTTTTCCGAACCCTTAGCCTTTCAAGCTGCTTGATTTAGCCATGTTTGAGCGATCGCAGTATGTTGACGTGCCGCTGATAGTGATGCTATTATCTAATTTTTTATTTGTTTTGATTTTTGTGCTTTGCTTTGATGCTTTTTGAGTCATTTTTTAGGTTTAACTTTATTTATGATGTGAAGATTGACTATCTCACTGCAAAGGTTAAATCAAAAGCCAATCTTGTAACCCAGTTGTCTTTCTCTAGTCATAGCCGATTAAACTTTGGGAGCAAGAACGAAGAAGAGTAGAAACCTAAGGTGATTCGGGATGTGGAGGAGACCGGCTTTGTTCAGTTATTGGATCCCTTCATATTTGTGGACAGCCTCCAGCAACTATATCGATCTTCACGTTCACCATCTCCATCACAAGGTCACTGTCTACATATATTTATTACTTTCAAGGTGAAATGCAATATTTTCTCCAGTCTTTTTCAGAACTTCGGATCATGGTCGATGAAATTTTAATTCAAGATGAACTGTATTAATCCATGGGGTTGGGGGTGTCGTGTCATTTACTGTGAATATTTCTCTCGAGTCAGATTAATTTTATTACATTGGGCATCATATTTTCGAATTAGTTATAACTTCCTTTGAAATTCTTGATCTCAACTCTGATACCTGGTGATCTGTGAAGTGTATTCACATTTATGCCATTGCTGTCAAGTTTTGTTTAGCGTGGCAGCGGATCTCTCCCCCTGCCACACCTATGCCAGGCCGCCACTGTACTTGATAGGCATTGCCAAATTTTGCTAAATGACGCCTAAGGGCATCTCCAACCGAACGGCAAACACTTGTTTGCCGTTCTTGCTTTGCTCCAACCGATCTCCATTTTTGACGCCATTTGATCGCGGATGAACAGTGCGACGCCAAATATTGGCGGCATTTTTTTCTCTCTACCGAACAGCTTGGGAAGAAAGGCGCGAACGAAAACGACCATTTTAGCGGCAAAATGGCGTTGGATTGGAGATGAAATACGGCATTTTTTGATTTCCCTGCATTTTGGAGTGAAAAATGACATTTTCGGTTGGAGATGCCCTAAGGGGCTGCTTGAATGCAAGCCGAATTTAGTTGATTCTGTAAATTTTGATTATGTTACTAGTCTTATGGGTGTTAAATCCTATAAATTATTTCGATGCCGTCATCTTTAGTTTAAGTAAGCTATTTGGATGCAAGCAAGAATATTTAAGGGATTTGAATTACATTTATGAATGTCTTGATTAACTAGCTTAGATATAAGTAATTGATTAAGCTTGGTATAAATTATTTAGGTTTAATTAAATAATTTATCACTTAGTTATCCTAGTTAGGAATTAGCTGTAGTGTAATAATAAATCAAGGTGAATGACTATAGAGTTTAATTTAGCAAAATAATGTTTATTAATTAAAGGTGAATTAACACATAAACTATAATAAACTCAATGAAATGTATTTAATAATAAAAATGTTAACTGACTAAATTATTAGTAAGTAATCAGGAATTTTGGTGCTAACTAAACGTATAATGAGGATCTCTCAATACTTATTTGTACTTTAGACTAATTGTAAATAAAATAACTAATTAATTTGAATGCTAGAAAGCTAGAAGAACTCGCAGAGAGCATTGAGCATCTTAGATTTATTTATTAGCTTTAAAATTAAATTTCATAAGACATGTTAATACAACTGATTATTAAAAAGCTCAAATTAATGGAGAAGATGGTATATGGATATAGTCTTGCTGCATTTTCACTGCACTCGAAAGTGCCTATTATTTAAGTGTCAAATGTGGTTGAGTGCAAGTTTAGTCTGGGCTAATGGACACCCAAGGAATATGAAGGGACACATTTCTCTACCCAGAGTTTTATTCCTGTCTTCCATCATGGTGATATATGTTGCAATCAACAGAACTTAATCCCCATATTTGAGCCCTGATATGAAGTTAATGATAAAAATTAGAGGCATGATAGCTATAAATTGAAAGGAGTAGAGGAATCCACCTGATACATATGAAAGAGGAAAGGAGGGAACTTGACAGTTGCAAAAATGTTCGAAGATCCATTCACACATTGCACATAGCTTTGTGCTCATGCCAAAACAATTTGGATCTAAAAAGCACGAAATTATATATATATATATATATATATATATATATATATATGAGAGCTCAATTGCATTCATCTTTAAAAAAATTTATCAGTGCCCTTTAAGCGTATGATGATCCTGCATCAACATTATTTAGGTCAACTCGTATTGCAAATAAATTCAACAAACTCTTGATGTAAGATGTATTATTGTCTAGGGTTAATTAATGCAAACTTTAGATGAGATGCACAAAGTAGCACAAAAAAATTCACAATTTGTAGTTTCCCAACATTAAATGTTAGCAAAGATTAGTCACTTTTGATACAAAATTTGAAAACACATTTTATTCATTCTAAATGATGATGTAAATGCTGCCAAAATTTAAAATTCCATAAGAAATCTATGAAAAAATATAAAGTTCTACTATGCTTAAGATTCACACCACAAAAAGAAAGCTGATATGTATCAAATTTGACAAAGTCCCAATCAATCACTTAAATCAATCACCAAGCAATTTGGAAGAAAGAACATAGATAGAAATTACCAATTGGAAAATGAAGGCATCACTTCAGCATAAGCAGAATTGTCCTTCATGATTATCATAACTTGCATAACTTGCAGAATGCTTGATGGATTCCAATCCAAAAACACATAAGAATTGAGAAGAAGCATATATATTTAATATTATTTTTATATACTTTAAGGGGTCCTATTTATAACTTTAAAAAAAAGTTTTTAAGCATCCTCTAAGTTGTGGCATAACTGCAAGTTTCAGTTCAACTCACTTGAATTCTAGTAATAAAAACAACTTCCCAACTTTAGTTTCAGCAAAACAGGAAATTTCAACTTTTAGAATCCCCTTCCAGCATGCTTCCTTCCAATTTCCGCTTCCTGTTACAATGAAATTTTAGAAAATAGGAAGGAAACCATCATCAGAACAAAGGCTGCACAGGAAAGGTCAAATTAAAAAAAAACAACTATTATCTTTGTAGAAGGAAACAATGATGATCCGATATTTACTATAACGCATATCGCCACAAGTCACAGTTTGATAGAGAATCAACAACTTCTACTACAAGAATCTCAGATGTTAATCAATGACTTTTGCTAGCTGGATTCTCCATCCGATTGTGTATGTAGTGAGTCTACAAAGTCAACATATAATATAAAGAGAAACAAATACCTAAAGTAGTGTGAGAAATCAGAAACTAAAGCCGACTCCCTCCTCCTCTGCCATTGATGGCTCGCCTGCACGCAAATGACGAAGACGACGACTCCCTCCTTGATAGACGAAGGCACTGACTCCCTCCTTGATAGACGAAGGCGCTGACTCCCTCCTTCTAGGACTTTGCTCGGTTTGGCCTCGCCTGCACGCAAAGATGACGAAGACACCTCGGTGGTTTGGCCTCGCCTCGCAGAAATGACGAAGACTAGGGCTTCTCGTGTAAACTAGCGGTCGTTTATACGATGGAAAGGGTTTAGGGGGTATAAATATAAAATATAAAAAATTAATTATTAAATATCAAGACATGCGTGTCCGTTTTATTATTATTATTTTTAATTGGTCATGTTAATCCCTCGTCGGACACGTGTCCCCGCCGTGTTGGGCGCATGTCCATGTCCAACATTACATTCCCTCTTTAAGTGGAGTGTCCGTTCATCATAGATGGAAATCTAATATCCACAGATTGTTGGATTGCTTTAGATGAAAAAATGTTGTCCACAAATTACTGGTTACTGGAGATGGAAAAGTATTACCCAGAAATTTATGATAATTTGAAAAAAAATACCCAAAATATTTCGTTGATTATTTTTTGGGGTATTTTACTCCCAAACTATATAAAAAGTTTGATTCAGTCTCACAACTCCTTAAATAGGAGCCAAAGTAATCCCATGGTTAAAAATTAAAATCAATTTGGGAAATTCATATTTTTTATCAATAATTTTTTATTTTCATTACAATCTTTAATTATTTAGCTTAGTAGGCGCCAAGAGAAGTCATGACGAGTAACTGCATCAGTAGAAATTGATACACGGTGTAAGAGAAGTCGAGACAAGATGATGGGCCAAAGGAGAAGGGAGTTAGGTCACGACGAACAACTTACCAACATGTGTCGAGGGAAGTGGAGACGACAGGTTACCTGAACAGTTTACACCAGTAGCTCACAAGTAGAATACATATTTTGTTTATTATATTGATAAAAAACTTAAATGATTGAAATGCACATTCTATTTGAATATGGTCGTATTGTACTGCTAAACACTTGTTTATTGATGCTGGGGTCATGGCTCAGTGGTATTGCCATTTTTTGAGGGAGTCACGATTTTTTTTAATTGTTGTTGGGAGAACCCGAAAATGAAAAAAACTATGGTTTATGGACTACGAGGAAAATTTTGGAATTTAGATATTTAACATTTATGGTCCATTTATGAGTTTAAGGTCATATTTATGGTCACACGATTCTGCTAACTGATTTTATTGATGTTAAGTAGTTGGTGCCACTTCGAAGATTGGTATCTTAGTTGGAGGACCTAAGTGACATGAAAAAGCACAAAAACCCGATTGAAAGGTCAAATGTGGGTGAATATGAAGTGGCCTATTTAATCTCAGGTTAATTATTGTAAAAAAAGAACATTGATCATTGCCTAATCATTGATTGATGCCTCCAATTATACCCTTGGATGCCTCTGTCAATGTTGCTGTCGAGTGAGAGTGGAGAAGATCATAACTTCATCTCAAATCGAATGCAGGAGTGCTTAAAATGGTTTTTATTTTCACTCTTACCCACCACGAATTCTCTAAGGATATCCTCTCTTAAGGGGGAAACTATCAAAAAAATCATTTGTTGAAATGCATAAACATACATCTAATGCGGAACCGAGCTACATCTGTACTCGAGGTGCTTTCCAATAGGCAGGATGATTAACTATGGTTGCTTGCACTCATATATGAAGTCTTGAACATTAGGTCTAAATAAACCTTTGTTTGATATGAGGGGAAACCTAGTTATGAATAAATCCAGTCAAGTTCATGACTCCAACCCTCAAACAACATAGTCTACAGCCTTCTCCGAGCAAGCAAATATTTCATAAAACCATTATGCTGCATTTCGGGTGAAGCAATGGATTGCATGAGAACTATATTCTAAACTGCTCCACTTATCTTTCTTGGATTCGTTTAGGTTGTAATCATATCACTGTTTTGCAGGTTAAAGAGGGTGATACTTCTAAACAAGTCAGACCTTTTATAACCTTTGTGCTAGGTAAGTTGAGTAGAGTAGCACCCGTTTCGCTGTGTTTAGTTAGGTTTTTTATGTTTAAGAAACAGCATTGCCATTTATATTTTGTTTTTGTCATACTTTTCTAACTATTTATTACTGAAAAGTATTTTTTAATTTCTTTTCTTAGATTGTTTTTGATACTTAGTTTATGGATTCCACGGGAAGAACATGCTTTACATAAAACAAATTTCTTTGTTAAGCACGTATAATAATGACTACGATTGTAAAGCACTTTACCAACAGTTATATGTTGTCATGCATTTGGGCATAATCAGTACAGTATGGGATAAATTTTCTTTTTCCTCCTAGTGGTCGAATACTGTTTCTTGCTTCAAACTCCTTGTGCTGAGCTGAGTTGCTGATTGGTGTTCTTAGTGATTTAAAGATTATTTCCTTCTTGGTTTCTTATGAAATCTTTGAACTTGTTAGAAAAAGGATTTAAAAGAGGAGAAAAGAGAAGTTTGAAGTTTGAAGTGGGGACGGGAGTTTGAGGCGGAACATGTTTGCCTCCTAAAAACAGGGGCCGGTCTCTCTTGGACCTGCTGGACCGCTCCCTCGTGGACCGATCTAATATATTCTTTTTTTGAGTAGGCTAAAACTTGACCCTATAAATAGAGGTTGAAAAAAAGAGAATTAAAGAAGAAATTAACTCTCTTTAGAATGGAAGGAAATCTTAATATTATAAAAACATTTAATTTAAAAAAACTATTTAATATAGTATTAGCATCCCAAGAGATTGACTCCTAGCCTCCACTAGCCGCCAACCCCTCCCTCCCATGACCTTTGAATTTTGAATTTCAAAATTCAAATCAACCTTAATTACTTTTCTAATTTACCCCACTATTAATTTGAAAAGTTGCCTCATTTGAATTCAAATTAGATTTGAATTTCAAAGCTTTCCCTATTAATAAACTTAAATTAGGAAACCTTATAATTACATTAAATCTGAAATCAATTTCAGATTTAATGACAATCCCTAATTAAATCCTCCCCATGCCCATACATCGAACCTAGACACATCAAATCCCTCCCCCTATGGCCAGCCCCATTCTCTCTCCAATTTGCCACCTAGACTCTCATTTAATGACCCTTAAATTCCCCTTGGTTGTCGCCCCACTTAAGCCCTCAATTAGGATTAATTTGGATTTCAAATTAATCTTTCCCTCCATAAAACAATTTGAGAATTAATTTCAGATTTCCTTCACAACCCACCGTAACCCTAGCCGAAATTCTCCTCCTCTCCAACTCTCCCCCACCTTTCTCCTCTCACAAATAAGGATTATCTTTAAGCCGACGTTGCCTCCATGCATGGCCGATCTGGAACAAGATCATAGATTCGTGTATGATAATCAAGTACGAATGGACCTTCTCTGATCACCTTTCTTCGACTTGAACCTTGAACGTTGATGATACCGTGGACGCTTACGTGGATCGCATCCTCTTCACATTGGTACCTTCCATCGAAGAGCATCTTCCAACCGGACATTGGTGAATCACCGGTCATCTCCACACACTTCCTCCTCTGGTTAGCTTTCCTTGGATCTCTACCCTAGGCTTCCTTTCCCTCATGGTGGCATCTTCCGGATTGTGGCTATTCTTCCTCTGCTAAAAACCCATAAAGAGCATAAGTGAGGGAAACTCAAGGTACTTTTCTCTTTGTTACATGGTGGATTGTTAGTTTATTGCACTTGCGTTTCCATTTTATAATTGATATTATTTGAGATCTTGCTCTTCTATTGTGTAATTGCTTGCCATATCAATTTAGACAACTTTTAATTCGTATAATCTTTTCGAAGTGAAACATTGGTTGATGTTACAACGCCTAATTCAATCTTTATAAATTTCTACATGCAATTCTTACTTGGTTTCACTCTTTTGGGAAATGACATAAAAGAAGATGATCATATCCTTATAAAACCCAAGAAATCATACAAGTCTTTGGTTGAATCAAAGATCAAAACAAATTATTCATTTTCCATCTATTATTGCGAATCTACTTATGCATGTAGGGTATGATTTATCTTTTCAAGAAGAATGAATGATTTGCTTAGAGATCTAGTTGACTCTGAGGTTTTTAGGTGAGAAATTATAAGATGACAATAGGCGAGCTTAATTTGTTATATGATTTAGAGCTCTTGAGTCAATAATCGAAGATTTCTATCCTTCCTTGGTACATGTAAGAGCTAGAGAAAATGTATCTTTCTGGGCTAAAGGGAAGAGTTAGCACCATTTTAAAAGCAAGTAATTTGTTTAAAATTTAGTTGCTCTTTCTTTAAGATTTAGCACCATTTTAAAAGCAAGTAATTTGTCTAAAATTTAGTTGCTCTTTCTTTAAGATAATGACTCCATGATTATCACCGATTTTCATCTTTAGTTCATGGCTTCTAATTTTATTAGTGTGAACGTCTTTGTGTTGATTTCCAAGATTGATCCCATTTTATTGGCTTGTTGCGACGTTCCATACAATTTTGTCGTGTTATTCTTTTTAGAGACACGAGCAAAGATTACCTCTTTTTTCATCTTAAGTTATTTTCTAGGTCTTTCTCCAGAATTGTGAAAGAGTGAACCCTTTAGTTTGAAGTGTCTTAGTACCTCCAAGCATTACTCTTTGTCTGCTTTCTTCTCTTCTAACCTCAGTGAATACTACTTCAGTTTTGGGGAATGTACAAATCTCTAGAATTCTTACTCAAACTTCATCTTGTTCTTTATTGAGATCTACAAGAAATTGTATGCTCTTATTTTCTACACAAGTTTGATGTATTTACTTGTACACTTCTATCATCAACCATTTGACTTGAAAATATCCATTCTTGCTTCCTTGTTTGAGATTATGAGCCTGATCGCATAATTCACACAATTTAGTAGAGTTTTTAAGATCTCATTACGCCATGCTTACTTTCTCATTGTGCAATACTGTAGTGTAAGTACTTGGATACAATGTGTTATTTTCTAGAATTGATAAAGGCATTGTTTTTATCTCATGTTGGAAATGAAGGGTCAACTACTTCAGGTTGATGGATGGTACTATTTAAGTATCCAATCTTTCATCTTCCTTGAATCACCATTGGAATTGAGGGAGATTATTTGAAGAAGATTTTTTTTATTTAGTTTGTTATTCCGAGTGAAAATTTATGTACACAATATCGATTATTAGTTTTTGACTTTAAGATAAAGGGGCAAAAAATAAAGAAATAAAGTAAAACATTTTTCTAGGATTAGATGGGGGCATTTAAAGAATATTAACAAAAGTATTTTTGAGAGTAAGATTTTAGATCTTAAGATTCTGTCTGTGCATGAGGATGCTAATATTATGTGGGAAAAAGTGATTAGTGATATTAAGAAAATATTGCAAAAGATGTGCTTGAAGTTTCGAAGGAAAAAACTCCTAATTATAAAAATAGTTGGTGGTGAAATCCAAATGTGCAAGAAAAGATAAAAAATAAGAAGATTTGTTATAAAAATTGGTTTAGATGTAAAAATTCTGATAATTGGGAAAGCTAAGAAAGCTATTTGTGATGCAAAGAGCTTAGCTTTTAATGATTTATATAATAGATTAGATACTAAGGAGGGAGAAAGATATACGTATAAATTAGCCAATCAAAAGATAGGAGTAGTAAAGATTTAGTTCAAGTAAAGTATATTAAGGATGAAGATCAAAAGGTACTTTTCTTAGAAGATGATATTCAACAAAGGTGGATGAGATATTTTGCTAAAATTTTTAATGAATAATGTGAAAATACGATTGACTTTAGTGACTTTATCACTTTAAATAAAAATAAAGATTTTTGTTTTTATCGGCATATAAGTAAAACCGAAGTTAGAGATGCTTTGAAGAAAATGAAGTGTGGAAAAGCTGTCGGACTCGATGATATTCCAATAGGGATATGGAAATGCTTAGGAGATGAAGGAATTTCTTGGCTTACTAAACTTTTTAATACTGTTTTGAAGACTAAAAAGATGCCAGATCAATGGTGAATGAGTGTGTTAATTCCTATTTTTAAGAATAAAGGTGATGCACAGGAGTGTGCGAATTATAGAGGAATTAAGTTAATGTGTCATACTTTAAAACTATGGGAGGGAGTTATGGAGCGTAGGTTGCGGCGTGAGACTAATGTTTCTCAAAATCAATTTGGATTCATGCCTGGTAGGTCTACTATGGAAGCCATATATTTATTTAGAGGTATGATGGAGAAATATAGAGAAAATAAGGAGGATCTACATATGATATTTATTGATTTAGAGAAAGCATATGATAAAGTTCCAAGGGAAGTGCTATGGAAAGTTCTTGAAAAGAAATGAGTTAATAACGTTTATATTGAAATCATTAAAGATATGTATGCATGACCTATTACTTGTGTTCAAACACAAGGTGGTTTGACCAAGCATTTTCCTATTTCTGTTGGATTACATCAAGGATCAGCCTTAAGTCCATTTCTTTTTGCTTTAGTCATGGATGTTCTCACTAGACATTTGCAAGAGGATGTACCTTGGTGTATTCTTTTTCCTGATGATATTCTTCTTGTTGATAAGACTAGAGAGAGAACTGATGATATTCTTCTTATTGATAAGATTAGAGAGGGAGTTGAAAGTAAACTTGAATTATGGAGGTCAACCTTAGTCTAAAGGTTTTCGCTTGAGTAGATCTAAAACTAAATACATGGAGTGTAATTTTAGTAGCAATAGTTCTAGTGAGGAGATTGTGACTTTGGGCGATCAAGTCATTAATAAGAGTACACGTTTTAGATATCTTGGTTCTATTGTTCAGAGTGATGGTGAAATAGATGGGGATATTATCAGCAGAATTCAAGTTGGATGGTTATGCATTGGGTTTATTGTGCGATAGAAAAGTTCCTCTCAAACTTAAGGGAAAATTCTATAAAGATGGTGGTGAGACCTGCAATGCTTTATGGTGCCGAATGTTGGCCATTAAAACAGAAGCATAATAATAAGTTAAGTGTTGCAGAGATGAGGATGCTTAGGTG